TCACTTACTCCTTTTAAAAAAAGATGTTCTTGCAATGTCACTCAAAATTTCATTAAGGGAGTAACTGCTTCTCCCTCCTATCTTACTTTCCAACACTTCTTGGCTCACAACTGTATACAGTAGTTCCCTTCCCAAACCTTTGCTTTTCACAAAGAATAGCTGGAGCAAGTTAGATAACTTATTTAACCATGGGGGGGGGGGGGTCATACATGAGCTGTTGTGTGGTTTTGGATGACATCAAAAGGTGCTAACTAGTGGCCAAGAAAATGAACTATATAGTGATCCATGCTGTTTGATGAAGTCAATTACTGGGTACCTTTATTTAAGAGCTGCATGAGACAATGTAAAAATGAGACAGGCACCCTGTTCCTGGGTGATTAGGAAGAAAGTGAGCAGGTTTCTTTAACCTTTGCAATCAGCATTCACAGAAATTTCAGAATGTCTTTGAGGTGTTGTGAAAGGAGCAGCCCACCTGGGATTCCAAAAAGGGTGCACCACTTTCAGGATCAAACTACTGGAGACTTGTCCACCAAGGCAAAACGATTCCTTAAATTTCAAGCTGCTGCTGTCAGCTGTCACTGGCCCAACCGCTTATCTTCTCACCCAGACAGGAGCACAATGCTTGGCCTCTGACCTGGGTATTCTTCCCTGTCAGGAGATTGCTACCAGCATGTAACAATGCAGAGAGAAAAAGATGAGATTTTTTCATACTTTCCTTTCTTTAAACGAAGCCCTTCAGTTTCTACCTCAGGGTTTCAATTCTTACCTTCAATTCTGTTGTGGACTTAGATGGAAAAAATAAATAAATAGAAAAGTGACAAAGGGGTCTTGGATTAGATTAGACAATTTACAAATCAACTCAAACACATTGGCTTGTGTTCTTTCAGATGAACTGGCAGAAAGTGGTGGCAGTGACTGGCAGGTTTTATTTAACTTCCTTTCCCAATCCCATCCATACTCATTAGTTTTCCCACCCTTGCAAAGCCCTCCCCAGTTTCTGCTGTATCCTGCTCTGTAACACATTTACCTCACCTGTGGGATTATGTGGTTAAGGAAGAAGTAGAAAAATTCTAATCCCTAAAAAATGGGTTTGTAAATTGTGGCCAAAGTGGGCTACTTTGTACTTGTTTCACAAGGATCCACATTCTCAAATTTGGGTTTATACACATTAAAAGATGCATAAATTCAAACATGTGTGTGCGAATTTGAAGGCTTGGCAATTGCAATTCATACTCTGTATCTTTCTAAAAGCCAGAAAACAGCAGAATTTAATGACACAAGGCTGGACATTTTTTATAATTTGGTGGGAGTGGGTTGGTTGGTTGGTTAGGAGTGGAGATGGAAGCACTTTCTCCCCAGTTCCTATTACTTCCCTTCTTTTGTAAAATATAATAAAATGAAACAAAAGAGCACTGACAAAAGTTTTCTAACTTAAACTGATAAATGTATAAAAATATTATCTGTCCCATCTACAGAAATAGGATCAAATGTCTCTGGCAACTTGAAGAGATGTATATCCAGAGCTGCTGGTTTTGCTGCCATCCTGTATTAGTACCTTACAAGGTGGTCCAGCCTAACAGTGTAGGCGACTTCTAACAGATAAACATTCTAGCCCATAAAAAAGGAAAAAAGTGGCAGGAAGCAGAGCATCACAGGGAAGGGCAATATGTCCCAGTTAAATGATCTCTAATAGTCATATCTGTTTTATGTAGCTCCTTCTTTGCAACTGCATGGAAAGGGGGAGAGGGAAAAAAAAAGGAAAAAAAAAAGCTGAATTCTGCATAAGCACTAAATGCCCTGCTGCTATTATCATTAATGTTCTATGTTGTGTGTTCTAGACCATTTATTACCACGGAAAAATAAATTGGTATGGAGAGAGAAAGAGACCCAGAGCCTGAGGTATCTGTGGAGCATGAAGCTTCAACTTGGGTTTCTTAGCCATGTGTAAATGGGATTTACAGTGTCTCCATGCATCATTGGTACAGTGGCTGTACTGGAAATTAAAACTCAGTTTTATATTCTAGGGAGCATCTCTCCCAGTATGTGACTATGACATCAAGTTTTCTGTTTACCCCTTAGGGTAGTGTGGCATTAGACGATGCCGTAATAATAAAAAGAGGAGTAATAGCTATACAGCATGAACAGAGGGGGAAAAGACATTTAGATGCATCTCTGTTTGCCAGTAAAATTCTGCTTGTATAAAGTTGAATCCTTAACTATTATGTCCAACCTTCTCATCCAGAAATAATGTGTTGAATATTCTTTATCTCCATGGATAATGCTATTCTCTCTCCAGAGCTAAAAATGCTACTTCAAGTAGCATAAAACTTCTGGCTGAAGAAGCATTCTTTGTCTTATTTCATCACATTCTAACTTCTTCCCCCACTTAACTTCTTTTTAATTTATCAGCACTGTAATACTTATATAAAATAATTACAAATGTTTATTATGAGACATTTAGTGGATTGCAATTACTTGACTTGAAACAATACATTGTAAAATTTGCTATGTGGTTACTATAGGGCTAAGGGATAAAATCAGTCCCTCAATCTGCTGAAAATCAAAATATTATAAATAATTATTATCTTATGTCCTCATGATTCTTTTCCAACATCAAATATCTGAGATGAAATAGATGGCTCCTGAATGGGCCAGAGTTTAGTAATGTCCTCACTTATAAAACCTTCCCTGCACAAGATTAATTTGGTATCCATCTTGATCCTATCAATAGAATTTTATCAGAAGCATCAAAATAATTTTTAATTATTTTTCCATACCTTTTGTCTTTAATACATTTTGTTTTGTCTTAGGTTTTGATTATCCTCTATAAATATCTTATATGACCTAGGACAGTGGTGGCGAACCTATGGCACGTGTGCCAGAGGCCCCAGCCTCGCCTCCCCCCACGACCCCCTCCTCTCCAGAAGCCCCCCTGAAGGAGAGTCGCCCCTGAGCATGGACCACGCAGATTAGCGCAGCTAAGGACATGGCATCCAGGCAGTGTAGACAAGACTCTGCCCTCACACCCCATCGTGCACAGTTGATGCTGCAGGGCGCAGGCAGAGGGCGTGACCACCATAGTGCTGCTGGGGCTGCCTGGGCGATCTGCGGCGGGCCCTGGAGGCGGTGAGTGGCCCTGCGGGCAGGCGGGGTGGGGGATGGGGGGTGGGGCAGGGGGTGGAGCCAGTTTTGGGGCACTCGGTCTCCAAAAGGTTTGCCATCACTAACCTAGGATCTAATTATCTGGGGGATCATCTGGTCCCACAGTGTCTGTCCCCTCTGAACAATCAGATAGAATCTTCTTGCTTTAAGTCCCATCAATTAAACAATGTAATCTAGCAAAGATCCAAGAAGCAGACCTTCTCTGTTATAGCTATTGCTTTTTGAAACAGCATCTTCCCCAGAAACTTGCTACCTGCCTTCAAAGAGCTATAAAAACACAACTTTTCTGTCAAGCCTTTGGTTAGGATGATTGGTGAGTATGGTAGATAATTTTCTTCATTATTCCTTTTTATATCACGTTTTTAATTTTGTGAACCTGCTCAGGGTCATATTTGGAGTTGGGTAAGCTTAGAAATGGGGATGGACGAATAAGCATGCAAATAAATCAATCCAACTTCTTTCCTCTAATTTTGAGTAATATGAGGTCTATTTGGCATTATTCTAAGTGCAGCTGAAGAAGTATATTAATCCTGAATTCCATTAAAACGTATTGCAACATTCTTTTGAAAAAAAATCAGTACCAATGAAATAAAAATGGTATAAACTCAATTTTAAAACAATTTTAAAAATTACTAGCAATCCATATTAACTGTATTGGTAGGTTTTAATAAAATGTACAATTAAAATGCAAGTCAGTTCAAAACCTGTCTTAAAAAGCACAACAGGAAAGACTGCTGCATAAAGGGCTTGCACAGAGGAATCTGAGATAAGAACTAAGAAAGAAGTCATAATCATAATCTTGGCCAAAAATATGGAAGTGTCTCCTTCTGAAGGTCAATAATTTTCTGTAGTGTCCTAAGTGCTTCTTGTCTGACTAGCAAAATGCTCACCAAATTTTAGGAGTACGGACCCTTACTCCACTAACATACTGTCGAGTTTTGTCAATATGAACAGACTTGACCAAACAAGAAGGTTGGGAGAAGTCGGTTCGGTTTCCATGTGCTACACATGTATGTAGTTCACTGGAACCCCAACCTCCCTCTCTCGCCCTCCTCCTGCCACTATTCAAAGCCCACTGGACTGCTTCTTCAGGAAAGTGGAGAAATGTGCCATTTCTACTCCTGAGGATGAGCTTATGCCATCGTTGCCAGGTTTTATTACCTTGATGCTGCCACCCATGTAAGGCAAGAACCGCACTGCACATGTTTTTTTTTATATTTGTTGGACTTGCAAACCAGAGTTAGGAAGAGCCTCTCAGAATGTAACCCGTCTGTAAGCAGAACTGTCTGTAACTCTGAAATGGAGCACTTGCATAAAAATGAAAATACTTTGCATTGTTTGTGTTGTAGTAGAAGTTTTATCTTTTAGAAAATAAAAAAAATGTTAATATTAACGATAACAACAACAATAATAATAATCTTCATAACAAAATAAAAAAGGGATGAAAATACAAAATGCTGCTATGGTTCTTTGCAACTTATGAACCAAAACCAATAGATTAAGAGCATGAATGTACAGACAAAGGAAGGTCAGTGAAGAGTAGAGGAAGACAATTATTTCATATCTGATTTGTTTTCTTTATTGACAGACTGCGCTGATTTTGCCCTGATATATATTTACTCATTTCATTGCATAGATTCCTCCATTACAAGTACCTTTGCTGCTTTATCAAGTGTAGTTTATGCCTCCGGAGAGGAAAATGAAATGCATAGGGTCTGTGAGATGGAAAAAACTGCACAAATTGTTACATCATCTCCCTCTCCTCCCTCCTCCTCTTGCTGAGAGACAAACCCCCCAGGGTCTTCTTTTAACTCTGCACCAGCAATATGCACAATTACCTGATAGAGAGGCATGCAGATACTATCAATCCATTCCAGCTGTAATCGAGGCAGTTCATCTTTCCTGTTCCGATCAAATATAGCCTGAGCAGAGAAGAGGAATGTGTCATGCTTTATTACTCTAGAGTATTTTACAGAAGCTGCTTCATCCAATACTTTGGATCTAGGATCAAATTGTTATAAACGGGACACTTTGAAAACCATAATCAATCTTTACACACATTTTCCTGTCTTTTGTCTAGAATGAAAAATAAACTATTTATTATTCTCTGGCCCTGTTTAGGGAATATAGAAGTTTCATTTATTTGACTGCTTTACAATGTAATTCCTTAGTATCAAACAAATACGACCCATTGTCGGCATTTACGTTGCATAAGAAAATAGGAAAAAATAAATATATAAAACATTGTTTTTACTATTCATTTTGGAGAAGTGCAATGCAATTCTTCCTGCTTCCACTTCAAAGTAATTTCAATTGTGTTCGGTTTCACACACTTCTGAGAAGTATGGTTATCAGATCTGAGCTGCAAAAATCCATAGGGCCATCAGATGGTAGCAGAACAATACAAAGAACAGTAAATTATTGCTTCATTCTAGTGATTGTCTAGAGCAGGGGTAGTCAACCTTGGCTGTTTTATGACTCGTGGATTTCAATTCCCAGAATTCCTGAGCCAGCTAAGCTGGCTCAGGAATTCTGGGAATTGAAGTCCACGAGTCATAAAACAGCCAAGGTTGACTACCCCTGGTCTAGAGTTTTGCAACCCAGATCCTATCTAGCATGATTCAAAGTATCTTTCGGGAATGGAATCCGAAGCTTTGCACAGCTCAATTATCATACAGAGTGATAGTGAGAAAGAATACAGTTAGATTATCAATTATATCACATCATCGTATCATACGACACTACTTTATAGTACATTACACTATGTTTGCTTACTCTATAGCAAGGGTGTCAAACTGGTAGCCCGCAGGCCGGATGCATCACGCGCAGGCCATGCCCACCCTGGCTCCGCAAAGGCAAAAAAGTCACAATATGTCACATGACACGATTGAGTTTGACACCCATGCTCTACAGCAAGTGATAATTACAAAAGTGGTTAACTTACAGAAGGTGTGAGTTTCAACTCAGATCTCTCCCTGTCCCCTTGTTCAAAGAACTCACTTGTTACCAGTTCAGCTACCTAAAACGTATACAAAAAGATCAAATTATGGTTTATATTGTTAATTGCATTCCAGACTGAAACCTTTATTAAGATTAAATGCAAATATGTATTTGACTATCAGGTGCCCTTGGTGAATACTTAGGCATAATATATGTCTGTCATGCTATTCTTTGCAATGTTATGCAAAGAGCAGAAAAGGAATAATAAATAATAAACCAAAGAAATTAAAACGTAAGCTAGGAGAAAAGACAACATAGCTTAATTTACTATCCAGTAATATCTTCACTATATCTCTCCATAGTTTTTTAACCCTTGCAAACCCTCCATGCCTCAAACATGTTTACACACTGCTTCATATACTCTTTTCTCTTGTTTAAACTTGAGCTGTCTTTTTTTTTTTTTTTGATGTTGTCATCAGGTCCATCCAACCATGACTTCTTTGATACATTGATACATACCTTTCTCTTGATACATTCACTCATCCTTCATGTACTTGTTTTCTAATTTGATCTTCATTCACTCTCTCAATATGACCAAATCACTTCAATATATTCATTTCATACATGCCATTCACTTTTATAGATGCATAAAATTTCAAATCCACGCTCCTTGTTGTGTCATACAACTATATAACATTCGCTGCAAGTCACTTGGATTCTCAGCCAACACTGCAAACGCACATTCGGATTTCCAATCAACACATCTCACACATCGGCAGAAGCATTCGTAACACATTTATCCACAACTGCACAAATAACCAAGGATTGGTCAGACAGCCTTTCTTCCTCCTCATGTAATGTTGAATAATTTATTAAGCATCCATTTATTCTCTTGCATGTTTTATTTCCATTGTTTTACTGTCATTCAGCAACTTCAACTCTGTATTTGCATAAAACATTCTATTATTCAAATCTATTCAATTTAGAGTATAATTTCACTAAATGAACAAATGTATAGTCCTGTTCTCACATTGGGATGGGGGGGGCAGGGGGAGCTGCAATATTGCTGATGTAGGTCATAAGAGCAGGCGGTTTGCCAAGCACTCAAATTTTGTTCATGTGACTGCTGGGGCATCGCAATGGCTGTATCTTTGAAATTAGGTTCTAAGTAGTTTTAAGTAGTTTTTCAGGGATCTGTTGTAACTTTGACAGATCACTAGGCACCAGTCATAAGTCAAGGACTGTCTGTAGCATACAAATAAATGAAATCTTTTTATATTATTCCCTGTGGAGGAGAAAATGCTATTGCCAGTTTTATTAAGCTTATACTGGCCATGCTAGGAATTC